ACACACCTCCATCTCTGAGGTGCCGATACGCCTGACCAGAGTGATAGCTGGACCAGCTGTGGTGTGAATCGGATCGACGTGTGGGGAGGAGAACAGCGACTGGAACTGCGTGGGACATGACACATCAGATCGTTTGAAGGGGAAATGCGGCATTTAGTCAACCATATCATAAACCCATCAGAGACAGCAGTTGGAGAGGACCAGAATCCGAGAGTGCACAAGGGGGGGGGGGGGGTGTATTGTGCGAGCCTGGGGCCAACTCCCTTTGTGATTACTGAGACAGTGAAAGGAACAGGAGAAGAGGCATGAACGTCGCAGACAAGCAGGGCAGACTGGCAGGCTTGGCTCAGACAGCACAGTTAAACTGCACGCACACAAACATTAGGCTTTGTGCAAGCCGTGCAGCACAGCGGCGCACGATATAAAATAGATAGTTGGAGTAATTAACCCCCCCCCCCCTCACACCACAGCACTTCATCAACAGATCTCACCCAGAGGATGCTGAATTTATAGCCTGGACTTAAGAATTTCTACTTAATTGAACAGTCTGGTTGAATACAGGTTAGATAGAAAAGCATCAAACAGATGATGCTGACAGAAGATTAAAAGAAAGCATGACGGGAGATGTGAATGAAAGAGCCTGGGGAGGGGGAATGTACTTTCATGATTGAAGTGCTGTTTCTTGATGAAATGTCTGAACTGTCTACTATTACTGAATGATTTCTAATAATATGCCTCAAGAAAAAAACACTTTTTATAATAATAAATAATAGATTGTAAGGTTTATCAGAACTCGATTGGATGCCATGAGCCCCTGCAGGAATAAAGATAAGACAAGGCTGCCATCTAGTGGTGGCGCGATGCTATAACGCCGTGCACACGACAAAATATCGACAAAATGGAGCCCGGTGCTCGGCCATGACAATGCAGGTCAGAGGGGCTGCAACTGCTGCACAAAACAGCGGAGGAAACACAACATAGCGTCACTTTGTGTAGAAAATGCAGGCAGTGATTCGTTGTTAAATGAACACTCACAGGTGTTGTAGTCTTTAAGAAAAAAGGCCTACTGCAGCCAAATCTGATTTAAGCTCTTTTTTTTAATATATAAAAGGCATTTAAAAAATAGTTTGCACCACATTATTTAATGCATATCAAAGTGAGTTTGGGCTTGAAAGGACACAGCAAACATACATTCACATTCACACAGTCTATGCTGGAGGGAAATGCACACAGACACAAAAAAGTAGCCTATTCATTCATGTTTGCTTAGTAGACTACATGCATTTTCTCATGCCTGCTGCTGCCCAGGCTTCTAACATGAAGTGGCGCATGCAGCCCTGTATGTGTAAAATTAAACATGGAGCTCTCTTTATATGATGTTGCTAAATAAATCGGTGATATTTCATTTGAGGGTCGAGGTGAATGTGGGTCACACTCACACTTGAGTACGCATAGAGTTAAATCTGAGTGTGTGAAGCCTAAAGGGGAATAAAGATGCCGGTCTGCTCCTTCAGTGGGGACAGGCCTCTGTGGGCGAAGACAAACAGAGCACTTTAACTCTTGTGAGGGCTACGAGGCAGGGGCGTGAAAGGTATAGGCTTCAGAAGAGGCCTTTAGTCAGTTGTTGGGTATCATGTCCCTTAATATTTTAGTGACTCACAACAAGGGTGAATCATTCTGTAAGGATGAAGAACGAACTCACAGTTCTCATCGAGGAATCCTAGAATAGTGTCTCAACTGTGGCTGACCTTTTGCTGACCTGACCTCTCTATGGATCTGTTGCAACAGATCCGTGGAATGAACCGTGTTGGTTTCAATCCCTCAGCTCAACGAGTACCGACCTACAGTTTGGAGGATCAACAAACTTCCATTGTTTGATTACACAAAGCAAATAAGCAGAATGGACATGTCTCTGTGAGGGCTCTGCATCCTGTAGCAGCTGTCTCAAAGGAAATGTTAGATTTATCTACAGTGAAATTACATTACAGGCATGTCTCATTTAGTCAAGAGGTCACGGCAAACTGTCTAAATCATGTTTTATGTCTTCCATCTGTTAAAATGAATGCAACATGGGCATTAAAGGTTTGATTTTACGTCTCCCTATGTAGATGAACACTGAAAAGCTCTCACATGTGGTTAATAATGGAGATGCATCAGAACCACGTTCAGTAAAGGATTACAGGCTACATTATAGCTTTAACTTGTAATTTCCAAGATGAGAAAGTATTGCAGTTACTTAGACAATAAAAGAGTTTCAGGCTGAGCACTCTAGGTATTACTGAAGTTGATTTTGCATGAAGATGCATGCTTCACAGAAAACCCCCTGGACTCTTACGGTGGAAGTTTCAACTTTGACCTCTCAAAGAAACAAACTGGAGACACTCATTCGAGGAAAATTCCCAGGACTTCTTTTTATTAAGAGAATTACAGAACATAAGAGAGGGACCAGACACCTGCATTTGTCAGAGAAGGTTTCCAAATTCAATCGTTTTAAAAAAACCAGAGTGTTTAGAAAAGCCGACATGACAGCGTGGATGGAGCAGGAGCTGTTTTACACGCAGGGTCGTCTAGGAGACAGGTCGGAGGCAATCGCTGTTCCCGGAATGTTTCACATGTTCATCTTCCTCTTTCTTATGTGGACAACACACTTCAACACGCTTTTTTTTAAAACACGATTTCAATGGAAAAAAAAAAAAAAAAAA